TTTTTAATAGACATTTTTGAGCATGAATATTGAGTGGCAAAAGAAAAAAATAATAAATAAAAATAAGTGTAAAAAGGAACAAAAAATAAAAGTGGATAAAAAGAACAAAAAGTAATGTAGACTGCCTAAATATCATCAGTTAAAATTTTAGAGTATCTGAATTGTTGAATTATTTTATAAATTTTTAGTGAAGTTGTGTTCAAAATTAAATCTATATTCTAAAAATATATCAAATTCCTTTTTAATTCCTTTAAGAAATAATTCCAGTTTTTTCTCAAACAAATTTCTAACATTCTAACCATAAATGAATGATACTTGTCAAATAGAAGGTAAAAATAATACTTTGTAAAAAATAATATGTAAACACACTGAGAACGATGATGATGCATTGTTAAAAAAAATTTATTATTTAATGAATCCAAAGAATATGTTGTTAGTAAGCTTCCAAAGAAAAATTAAACTAATACCAGGGAAAAAAAATGTAATTAATTCATATATTCATTTATTCACAAATAACAATCTTTTCCGAACATACTTTTCGAGCTCCCCTGCGGTTTTACCAAGAACAAAACGTGACGTCACATCGCATAAATAAAAACAAAGTATCCAAAAAGGCTGTATAAACACATGCAGTGGAAACATTGTTAGAAAATTAGATAGAGAAAAAAAAAAGACTATTATTTAATGAATCTCAAAAGTATGTAATTGTATATAGAGCTTGGCGAGAAAAACCGAAAAAAGGGAGATTGGTTGCGCATGCGTGGATGACGTCATTGAAGGTTTGCGTTGTTCCAGCTGTTAACTACTCACGCGGAAGGAAGCTGTTTCGTGTTTTTAGCGTATGTCATACAAGCTGCACAGGTGACAAACATACCACGTGGACAAGCGATAGGATTGTTGCTTTTTCCCTCACAATCCCTGGGTTGAATTTCTCGCTTACAGTGAGGTTCAGCTGCTACTTTTGCTCTTTAATCTGTGACTAACGATGAAAACAACTTACAGGGAGTCAAAGGTCCTATTATGACAATGATGAATTGATACATTGTTCTCAAAGTTTTTCAGCTAGTTCTCTGCCTTGAGAAAATAATTATAAATGAGGAAATTTAAAGTCTAGAAAATATGTACAAAGTTATAAATTTTACTAAAAATAATCCAACAAACATGTAGTTATCTTCTTTTTTTCTCTCAATTCCTACTATTAGTTCACACTCTCCCTATATATATTTATTTAAATATATATATATATTTTGTTCAAATTTTCAATCGTTAATAAAATACTTTTTATTCATCCATTCAAGTTCAAATACATTTTTTTAAAAACTTGTAGTGGATGACACTTGTTGTTAATACAGTTTTTTCAAATATTAATTCATTAATTAAATCGAATTAATGAATAAATAGTAACGAACTAAAATAATAGTCCAACACCACATATAAAAAGGAAAATTTCTGGTTGTGTTCCTGTAGCGCAATGTATGGCGCTTTGGACTTCTAATCCAAAGGGCGTGGGTTCGAATTCTACCTGGGATGGGTTCACCCATGTGATGGGTTCAAAAAAATCAAAAAAAAAAAAAAAAAATTCATAAATTGCTTTTTTAACATGTCTAGAATACGGTGGTAAAGTGGTTTTTTTAAAATTCGAAATCGTTATAAAGAAGCAGAAGTTAGAAGAGAAGCTGTTCGTAGCGCTAATTTTTATAAGATTTTCATTGTTTTAATCTGACTTGAAACTTTAAACACGTTTTTTCTCAAGATTCTGCTTTTCAGACTTTCCTCCATCATATCTCAAGAACGGTGTGACCATTCCAATTTATATTTATATTCCACAAATATACGCTCCAAATGAACTGCGATCATTCCAAAATTCAAAATATTTCTATTTTTTTATAACAAAAGCGTAACAAAAAAAACCCCATGAAATTCGAAACTTTTTCTTCAGAGGTCTGCCAAAAGTCTAATTTTTGATATTTTCAATTGAGTATAATGTATTCGGTGCATTTAAGTGTATAGATTAAAACGCCGTTATTATTATTTTTTATTTCAAATAAGCCAATCAGCCAGAATCGTGGAGGAAGTTAGCGTCCATTTTTTTCGAGGTGGGTGTGTTCAGGGCGCTATAACTCACGTTCTATTAGATATTTTTGGCTAAAAATTTATATACATACTCTTAGGATACATATAAATAAATGATAAAAAAAAAGTAAAGTTCTGTCATTTTACTGGAAGTCAAAAAAAATTTCCAAAAAATGCTTTAAAAAATAGGATGTTACATGGGTGAACCCCCTTAAGCGAAACCCCCAATTTTTAGTTACTCATTTATCGACCCACTGAATGGATGAAAGGTTGAGTCGACCTTTTCCAAACCGGGGTTTGAACGCCGTCTTGGAAGCACAATACGCTACCACTCAACAACTGGGCTTTTTCTCATATATTAAGGTTTAATATATATTCATTAATTTGATTCATGTGTACAAAAATGTACATTTTAGAAATAAATGTTAATATTTTTAAATTAAGGTGAAATATTTATTCAAGTTTCCTTTTTTTCCAAAGTAGAAATACTGGAAGAGAGAGAGCAACATTCATCTGAAAAAGATGGTTTATGTGGTAACCACAGTAACGCACACAAGGGGGGTGTCCTAGGGGTCCGGACACCCCCCATAGCCCTTGATTTTTTTTTCGATTGGTTATAATCCTATGTATATATTACGTAAAATTTTATTATATATTTGTTACTAATAATTAATTTGATTAATTAATGCTAATTATTTATTCAATAACTAATTTTGTATTGTTTTTGTTCCCGAAAATCGACAAAATCAAAAAAATATGTTGTGCGCCGTTTTGGAACATGATACCAAAATGGTGGACTTTCGACCCTGGACCCCCCCCCTTGAAAATTTTTTGTGTGCGCTACTGGTGGTAACATATTCTTTTTTTTTTTCTTTTGAAAGCAACAAAATCAAAACATTTTTTTAATGATTATTTTTAACTTTCAAACTATTATTTTTGACTTTTTTTCAGTCATTTTTTGATTGTTAGTGCTTACTCCTCCATCAGTTTTTATTTCTAAGTTACAATTTTTAATTCATGTATTTAAAAATGTACTCGTACATGTTTTTTTTTTAATTTAAAAGGAACAATTGACAGATTAACCCATGTCCAGGTATGACTGATCAAAAATAAATCATGCCATAAATTTAATTCCTTTATTCATAGACAGCACGTGCTATTCAAACTCGTGCTGAATTAATTCATATCCTTGTCGCGCTTTGGCGTACTCGAGCACAGACGCTTTTGTGTGTATTATTAGTATTATTTTCATATTCAGAATAACTTTCAGGTAGTTATCATTGTAAATATGTCTGGTAATAATTCTTTATATGATTTGAGGAAATCAAATATATGTTTGGTGAATAGAATAGAATATCCTTTTCAATATTTACAGGAGCATATGAAGAATTCATTAAATTCGTAACCTTTAGAGAATTACGAATAGATATTTACTGCTCTCTGAATTTTTTTTTTATCTTGAGAACGTTTTTATGCCTAAAAATTGTCTTGGGGTTGGTTGATTATTGTTTAAGTACCGCTAATTTATCAAGAAATGTTTTATATATCCCGAAATTTAAAATAAAATTTTCAAATTTTTTGAAAAAGAAAACATTTATAGGGTTTTTGGAAAATAAGCTGATTTTTTTTCTTTGCATTATCTTCTTATAGCACTAAATTCATGATGTTCCTCATTTCGGATGACGTGGGAACAGGAGCTGAATTATTTATTTTTTTCGTCGTTGGAATCTGAGCTTTGAGCAAACTCTCTCTCTCTCTCTCGAAAATGTTTTTGCCATAATTGTGGCTGTACGCCCATTATTATCATTTACTGCAACTAATTCTTCCATTGATGTAGTAGGACAGTCAGTTCCGGCTGGTGTTTTCCGTATTTTGTTCACTCCTAGAAGGAAAATCTTTTCGTGTTAAGGAGGTCTGGCATGTTCATAGGAGCCCATGTTAAATTGCGTAAGTTTATGTACCTTTTTCTCAAAAACTACTTATCTTCACTTATCTCCCATGGATAAAATTTTTACAGTAGGTTATGTATACTATCAACAAAACTTTAACGGAGGGTTTTGTCTTTTTATTAAAAATTAAAGTAATTATGAATTTTTCAAAAATTCTCCAATTTTTTTTTCCTTAAAATTAAGTTTAAAAAAGCCTTATCTATAAAACAGTTTGCCAGATATATCTAATTCCCTCCATTAAAATGTGTAAACATGTTAAAAGTATGCTCACTGAAAATTTGAAGATTATTATATAATAAGTAGTTTTTGAGAAAAAGGTACATAAAGTGAAAAGTATTACATTTTGAAAAAACGGGCTTTAAAGTAAAAATTTGTAATTTGTTGAGCACTTTTCAGAAGCATGTGAAGTATTTTCTTTAGCCTCTGCGCCTACAAAAGACTTTTAATTTTCTTTTTTTCATTATTTTTAACAATTTTGCTTTTTTTGGAGATCTCAAAATGCTTTCGTTGGGCTGAACGAATCCTATGTGCATCTAATTTTCGGAAGCATGACACACAATTATACTTTGGCTCAATATCACAATGTTTTAAGATCATTAATTTTGCTACATGATTCATATTGAACTGTGCAATAGTCATATTTAGCATAATTTTTTAGAGTTTTTAATTCCACAAATGTTGATCTTGGAATCACTGACCATATGGTGTTATTAACGCCATACAGTGCACTCATACACTTTTGGATTAACCCAATACACTCTAATTTTTTCACTTGAATATTATATGGCTTCGCACTCCTCATATGTAAGGAGAAACACAGATGCTCCTAGCAGAGCTCATTTGATGTGCGTCAAGGAGTAGCTTCATTTAAAAAAAAAAAAAATACTTCTAATTATCGTATTTCCGTATATCATATATCATTTTAAGCAGAACTATTTGAACTCTTAAAAAATATAAAAAATTTAACATCGATAATTTTTCAAAAATTTATGCGCCTCTTAAGCGATTTTCGTTTCGTGTTAAGAGAAAAAATGCATTAAAATACATAGCAGCTTGTCGAGACTTGTATTATTTCATGTTAACCGATATTTCGTCTTAAACGTTTTCACGTTAAACGTATTTCACTGTATATCATTTAGACCCATGTAGCATCCCTCTTGGAGTTGATTTCCTCATATTAGGTTGGAGAAACATAAATCCATTATTTTTGCATAAAATTCAAGACTTTATTTAACTTGTTTTGGATTGGCCGATTTGGGTCAAATATGCACCGTTTTGCTGTATAATTTGTTGCCATTTTAAAGGTAGCTTCATAATGCCTCTATCATAGAAGTCTTGGTCCTTATTGGCGAAAAACTCTAGTATTCTATTTTCACAATCTTCTCTTGATCCCAATTTCTTATCACTCAGGAAGTTTTTCAATGCGAGAAAAAGGAGGTAATCGCTTGGTGCCAGGTCCGGACTATATGGTGGATGCATTAAAACTTCCTAAACAAGCTCCCAGAGTTTCTGGTGAGTCACTACAGACGTGTGAGGCCTGGCGTTGTGCTGATGGAACACAAAACCTCTTCTGTTGGCCAATTCTGATCAATCGCTAGCTTCAAACGATCCAGTTGTTGACAGCAGAGATCTGAATTTAGTGTTTGGCCATACGGAAGCAACTCATAATAAATGATTCTTTTCCAGTGCCACCAAATACACAGTAGAACCTTGTTGGCCGTTAGTCTTGGTTTGGCCACCGTTTGAGCTGCTTCACCACGCTTTAACCACGATCGTTTTCACACAATATTATCGTAGGTGACCCATTTCTCATCCCCAGTCACCATCCGCTTAAGAAATGGGTCGATTTCATTCCTTTTGGCGAAGTCATCGCAGATAGAAATTCTATCCATCATGTATTTTGGTGTTAAATGGTGTGGCACCCAAACATCAAGCTTCTTTTTGAATCCAACTTTGAGCAAATGGTTTTAAAACTCTTTTGTGGTCGATCTTTAGCTACTGAGCGATGCTACGACTACTAACATGTCGGTCAACTTCGATTATTTCAGTGATTTTATCGACATTTTCGACGTCGGTTCTGCCTGTGCGAGGAGCATCTTTAACATCAGAAAAGCCTGAACGGAATCGACGAAACCAAAATTGCACGTAATTAGCTATTACAATATCGGCACCATAAATATCATCACAATTTCAGCCACCTGGCTTGCATTTTCACCTTTATCAAAGAAAAACTGTAAAATGTACCGAATTTTCTCTTTCTTGACTTCCATTTTTAACATCCTGTAACTCACAACTGAATTTACCAAACAATAAACAACAAAATAAATTTTTTAGAGTAAAATGTCACCTCGGCAATGAGCATAAATTTGAAATTGTTTGATCGATACTTCACGAGATATCGACACTACAGCCATCTACCGAAAAAATAATGAATTTCTTTTTCCCCACCCTAATATTTTTAGTGTATCTTCACTCAACAAAAAAAAAAAAAAAAAAAACGCGCCTGTG